AATGTGTCAATCAAGTTTTAAAATCATCAGTCAAAATATATCTTCGTTAATATTTTAATATTTTATAGCTTCATAATATTCGACTAATTTGAATACTGCATGGACTTATAGCATTAAAATAAAAGTATGCAGAAATATATGCTTTATTTTAGATTGTGTGGATGAAATAGGCCATAGAATCAACATAATAAAGTATGAAAATACGAATACATATAATTTAATAACATTTTGTCACAAATATAAAAGTGAAATTCAAAAAAAAATATATTTGGGGCTCTTATACCTGTGTTCCAACAACGACAATTTGTGGCAATTGCACAGCCTCCGTGCCAACGGTATTAAATACATCTTGAAGTTTATTAATAACAGGAATTAACTGCTCCATTGCAACACGTTCCAGATATATATATATATAGAGTTCACTGGCAAAAACATGGCGGATTTTCGCGCCATATGACCACTGAGCTATACTATATTACTGGAGGAAGTGCTCGGCAAAAAAAGTGTCCGCAAAAACATGGCGGATTTTCGCGCCATATGACGCCATTTCCATGACAACTGGTTCCTCCGGCTCATGAAATTACCGCTGACCAGGCTCAATTCTGAGCCCGCTACAATTTTCACACCCCCCTGGTTTTATCAAAAAAATTTTTGCTTTTCGAGGTTTTTGCAGTAAAATCTCGTTGTTTTTTTATATTTTTTCGACTTTTGACCATTTGTTAAAAGATTTAAAAGTCGTACACGCTATTCTCACCCGCGAAAGACAACAAACCAATATGAAAAGCCCGAGAAATTTAGGCAAAGGCGATATTTGATGGCAGAGCTCACAGGTAAATATTTCACATACTATTGATGTTTTTATTTTTAATTTTTAAAAGATAATGGGAGTAAATGATAGAATACAATCCATTAGATAACAGGCTCTTTGTATAGTATAACGTATTATTTTCCCCCAAGTGTTCAAAGTCTTGTCGTAAAAAAATACAGAAACTTTGTTTCTATATTCAAATTAAGTTTTTTTGTTGTTTTTTTCTTACTTTTACTAGCTTTGTTAAATTGTTGGCTGGCCATGGTTTTTGTTAAACAAATGTTGTTTTATTTAATTCAGTTAAATCAGTTTTTTCCTTCAAATCCTTTGGGTTTTCTATATAGACTGATGACTGAAATCTGACATGCTTGATTTTATGCAATTGTATGTGCTAAATAAGTGTATGTACAGGTGTAAAGGCATGAAACAATGTGCTTCTATCTATATTCTTTGTGTTTATATATACTAGAGTCTGTGGTTATTATAGTATGCATAATCTATAGGGTGCCAGTACAAGCTAGCCTAGAGGTGCCAGATTAGCTCAGGATACTGTGGGCAACTTATCTGGTAATATGATTTCTACCTAGATTTCTGACTAATGACATGTTGATTTGAGGATTCTTGAGCCACTAGAAATAGGATTGTACTTCTTGAATGTTGGGTACCAATCACAAGTGTAGGTATAAGCAAAGTATCTAGATTATAGGCTTTATAGGGTTGCACTAGAACTCATTATACAGGCCAGAACTGAGAAAGTCACACATGCTAGTCAGACATCAAGTCAGAAACAATTTAATTGGTAGATAATGTCACTTCCAGTCCATGCAGGTGGATTTATTTGGGTTTTTTGTTCATTTCAGTCCTCTCTCTGTGCACCCCTGTATCAGATGCAACTACCTGAAACTAAGAAATCAATGAACTTCAACATTTCAGGTGAAAGACCTATAGTATTATTTTTCAGGTAGTTGCATGATACATTCAAGCCTTTAAATAGTGTGGTGGCTTAAGCTACTTTTCTCATTTCCTTTCTTCACTTTCTTACTTTTTTGTCTCTAGTGAAAACTTCATTTTACAACATTTTAATTATATAATCTCTTTTTGGTCTAATTGCAGAATTATTTGATGGTGAGACAGTTCATAGTTCAACTTCTTTATTAAAGAATTATCAATTATTAGAAATAATTAATTTAGTTAGCAGTGATAAAACTATCCAGACAAGTTATTATTGTGACTTTGTAGCCAGATGGGTATGATTTTGCTTTGGCTGTTCAGCATTTTGATCCATTGTGATATGTCTTGTGGTACCTGTGAATGATTTTACCTGCAAAATGAATGACAGAATATCAGAATGTAACATTACATTAAGATACATCCTTACACTGCAATAAAATTATGTAATACTAGATGGTCAGTGTGAAGAATATGGTCTTTGACACTCTTTGTATATAATAAACATGCTATTGTGTAATGGAAATGATCAAATAAAGTTATTTCTGCAACAGCCCTTGCATTCAAACACCTTATTTGTATTTTTCTTGTTCATGCTTGAGCATCAGCCTCAGGATAAGCAAATTCCATTGGATTTGTGAGGGCACTTGAACTATATTGGGTCATTACATGAATTACAGAAAAGATTCAGACTCCCACAGCCTGTGCTACAAGTTACAGCTGTGACAGTGTAGAGGGGGGATCCACAAGTAAAATGTGCTAGAATATCCAAGGGGGGGGGGGTGATACAAATAAAAATTATGTTTAATATGACTTAAAATT